CTTCTTCCTCAGAGCTCTGAGGAAGAAGGCTTGTCCTTCGAAACGCGTCAGCTGTACTGAGTGGCTTCCTCCATGATGGGATTCGCATTTGCATCTTGCCTTTAAAGTCCCTTTGAGGACTGACATGCCTGTTTTTATTCGCTGTTTGTGAGTACCATTCTTTTATTTTTTTTTTAATAAATTTTGGTTACTGAGGTAATGCGCAAGGTTGGTGCGCTTCTTTTTTCTTTTTTGTTCTTCCTCACAGTTCTGTTTGGGCTTCCCCAGCCTTGGTGTGGAGCTGCACGACCTTAACTATTTCGGTGGTCCCCTCCTTGCTTTTTTGGAGTCTGATTCCATCTACTTACCACCAGTCTGGGTCCCGGAGCGCAGGAGATATCGCATTTGAAACATCTGAACTATTCCATATGACCCTGAACAGAAAAGACTGGAGATTTTGAAATTATAAAGAGGTTATGTAATAGTTTAAGATTAGATACAAGTTCTTGCTACATCTATTTTACTACAACTCCCTTGCCCTTGTACTACCATGACAAGAATACCAAATCTTTATTATATGCCCATAAAGATCATTAGGCAATAAATATGACTGATGTTCAACAATCTTTTAATATAGAAAGTTTAAAAATTAGAAATGGATCGTTTTCAAATTGATCTTCTCGTATGAAATAACCGAGCTCCGCATTCATATATCTTACAAGAGATTTCAGGCTATAGAACAGGGTAAAGAAAAATGCTTTTGTACGGCTATCTAAAAATTCAGGAAGCATTTGGTGAGCAGGGTAATTTAATCCAGTTGTCAGGAATACAGACAAGCCTTGTATTCACCTCTAGAGGAAAGAGACCATCTGGGAAAGCTTGGATAATGAATGATCCTAGGCCACTTATACCTGTGTACACCACCCTGTCACAGGCATGCATGTATCATGTATCGGGATGGTGGCAGGTCAGAGAAACATACTGCAGTAAAGACAGTAGTTAGTTTAAAATCTGTTATGCTTTGGCAATAGCATTTTACAGACACTCCTCTCAACAACTGATGACACAGTCAAATAGCCAATCAGCACCTAAAAGTCAACCTTCTAGACCAGGGGTCTCCAAACTTTAACAAAGGACCAGTTTATGGTCATTGAGACTTTAGGGGGGCCAGACTGTCCAGTGGGATTAAACAATGCCCCACGTCTGGTATTAGGGGGAGGAATAGTGCCCCTCGTTGGTGTCAGTGGGAGGAATTTTGCCTGATTGTTATTGTCAGTGGAAGGAATTACATTCTATGGTTGGTGTCAGTGGAAGGAATAGTGCCCTATTGTAGGTGTCAGTGGTAAGAATAATACTTCAAGGGCCAGATAAAAAGTCAAGCAAAGAGCCGTATCCGGCCAGTGGGCCGCAGTTTGGAAACCACTGTTCTACAACATACAAATTTAAAAAAAAATCCACCACTGTTTGCCATGTGCGACTCTTATATGAAAATCAAAAGAATTGTAACTCTTATTGCACAAGGATAAGAGAGCATTTTGCTGAACTTTATCTCTTAGCATTCCAGCAATCAATCAAAATCAGCCAACTGTGAGAAGTTCTGAGCAGCCCAAGCTAGGATGGAACGTCTCACTGCATGCTGGAAAAGTGTGCAATCATTACTTAAAGAGGAGCTCCAGTCTCCTGAACAAAGATTAGAAATCAGCATCTACAAATACTATAGCTGCTGATCTTTTAATATAAAAACAATTACAGTTGTGCTCAAAAGTTTGCTTACCCTGGCAGAAATTTTGGCCTTGATATTGAAAATATGACTGATCATGCCAAAAAATGCTCTTTTATTGAAGGATGATGATCATATGAAGCCATTTATTAGCAAATAGTTGTTTGACTCCTTTTTAAATCATAATAAAAGAAATCACCCAAATGACCCTGATCAAAAGTTTCCATACCCTGGCATGTTTGTCCTTGGTACAGACACACAAGGTGACACACACGGGTTAAAATGCCAATTAGTGCTTAATGTCCCACATCTGTGGCTTTTGAAATTGCAATTGGTGTCAGTGTATAGTCAATGAGTTTGTTAGCTCTAGTTGGAAGCACTGACTAGGCTAGATACTGTGCCATGGGGATCAGAAAAGATCTGTCAAAAGTCCTGCGTAACAAGGTAATGGAACTTTATAAATACAGAAAAGGACATACAAAGATGTCCAAAGCCTTGAATATGCCAATCAGTACAGTTAAATCACCTATTAAGAACTGGAAAGTTCTGGGATCTCTTGATACCAAGCCAAGGTCAGGTAGATCAAGAAAGATTGCAGCCACAACTGACAGTAGAATTGTCCAAGATTCAAAGAAAAACCCACAGGCAAACCTCAAAAGAAATACAGGCTGCTCTGGAAAAAGCTGGTGTGGTTGTTTTTAAGAAGTACAATATGGTGATACTTGAACAAAAATGAGCTGTTTGGTCGAGGTGCCAGAAAGAAGCCTTTACTGCACCGATGCCACAAAACAGCCTTCTCCCCTCCTAACACCCACTCTCTTTGAAACATTGCAGGAGGGGACTTCCAAAAGGAACCCTAGTTGAGAAACCCTGTTTTAGCAACCTGCTGGTTTACACATCACAGAGTTGGCATGCTGCTCAGATCTATATTCTCAGCACGAAAAAAAAAAATTCTGTTGTGATTTTTATAAAGAAACATCTCCACAGTGCCTATAGCTACAGAGGTGAGTAAACCTAGGATCACACTGTAAACTGCATGTGAACACTGCAGAGAAATCACACCACATTCCTGTGCAAATATCATGCAATTCATTTTGATGGCTCAAATTGCATCGAGTCCACATCAACAAGGTGCAGACAGCTTTTTTTTTATTATCACTGGAACTGCTTTTGTGACCTGCTTTTGGGGTGTTGCTAACTTTCCACCGACACCTGCAGCAGATCGCAGAACACAGTGTGATTGCTATGTGGTACGGGAATCGCTGCATTTCCCACACAGAACCAGTGTGAACCAAGGCTGAGTTGTGCTTTTGCTGCTTGTTCAGAATATGTAAAATACTTTCGTGTGAACATTCAGGTTTATGTTAACTACCAGATGTGTAGTGCTGCACCAAATCTTTTATCCAGCCTCTATAATAATAAAAAAAAAAAAAAAAAAAAAAAAAAAATCGCATTCATTAAAAGTCACCAAACAAAAGCAAAAAAAAAAAACAAAAACAAAAAAAAAAACTTTTCAGCATTTATCCAATCATTTATATATACACTATATTGCCAAAAGTATTGGGACATCTGCCTTTACACGCACGTGAACTTTAACCACTTCAATACCGGGCACTTTTACCCCCTTCCTTTCCAGGCCAATTTTCAGCTTTCAGCGCTGTCACACTTTGAATGACAATTTCATGTGACTACCCATATGAAATTTGTATCATTTTTTTCACACAAATAGAGCTTTCCTTTGGTGGTATTTAATCACTGCTGAGTTTTTTGTTTTTTTTTTTTGCCAACAAAAAAACCCCCAAACTTTTTTTTTTTAAAAAATGCATTTTTCATTTCCGTTATAAAATTTTGCAGATAAATTTTTTTCATAAAATTTAGGTCAAAATGTATTCTGCTACATTTTTTTGATGAAAATACCCCAAATTAGTGTATATTAGTCTGTAGGAAAGTTATAGAGTCCACTAACCAAGGTATCTGACAATTGATCAATCCTGATGTACTGACGGCCCATCTCATTTCATGCCCAAAATCGCCAGGATAGTACAAATAGAAAATAGACAGTTCAAGGTATTTAGTAAGAGGCATGGTGAGTTTTTTGGAGGTTGTAATTTTTTGTCACAATTTTTTGGGAAATGTAGAGAAAAAAAAAAAAAAAAAAAAAAAAAAAAAAAAAAAAAAAAACGCAATTTTTTTTTTTTTTTTTTTTTACATATTGTCACCAGTCCAGTACAGCATTATTATATAACTGGTGTGGCAGTGATCAGAAACTGACTGGTGACAGTATGTAAAAAAAAAAATACTATTTTAAATTTTTATTTTTTCTTTCAAATTTTTCAATTTTTTTTATTTTTATTACATTATTTATTTTTCTTTTTTTTACAATTTTTTTTTTCAACAAACTGTGACCAAAACAATACAATGTTACCATAATAACATTGAACTACTCTGGGCAAGTAATCAGGTTTTCATTTTTTTAAACACATTATCATTGCTAATACCAGTGTATTTCATTGATATTTGCAATCATAGTTACTGAATTAAACCGATTCATTCAGCCTTTTTTTGTGATTAGCTGTGATTGGGCAAAGCTCATCACATGATACAGATGGGCTGTGATTGGCCCTGTCTATATCATGTGAATGCTTTGACCAGTCACAGCTAACAAGATAATTGTATACAATGGATGGCATGACAGGAAGCCATCCATTGCATACAATTGACATGTGATCTGCTGTGATTGGTCACAGCCGTCAGACTGCAGGAGTAGTACAGGAGATGGCCAGAGACTGCGGACACAGTACAGGAGATGACCAGAGACTACAGACATACTACAGGAGATGACCAGAGACTGCGGACACAGTACAGGAGATGACCAGAGACTACAGACATACTACAGGAGATGACCACAGACTGCAGACATAGTACAGGAGATGACCAGAGACTGCGGACATAGTACAGGAGATGACCAGAGACTACAGACATACTACAGGAGATGACCAGAGACTGCAGACACAGTACAGGAGATGACCAGAGACTGCGGACACAGTACAGGAGATGACCAGAGACTGCGGACACAGTACAGGAGATGACCAGAGACTACAGACATACTACAGGAGATGACCAGAGACTGCGGACACAGTACAGGAGATGACCAGAGACTACAGACATACTACAGGAGATGACCAGAGACTGCGGACACAGTACAGGAGATGACCAGAGACTACAGACATACTACAGGAGATGACCAGAGACTGCGGACACAGTACAGGAGATGACCAGAGACTACAGACATACTACAGGAGATGACCAGAGACTGCAGACATAGTACAGGAGATGACCAGAGACTGCGGACACAGTACAGGAGATGACCAGAGACTGCGGACACAGTACAGGAGATGACCAGAGACTGCGGACACAGTACAGGAGATGACCAGAGACTGCGGACACAGTACAGGAGATGACCAGAGACTGCGGACACAGTACAGGAGATGACCAGAGACTACAGACATACTACAGGAGATGACCAGAGACTGCGGACACAGTACAGGAGATGACCAGAGACTACAGACATACTACAGGAGATGACCAGAGACTGCGGACACAGTACAGGAGATGACCAGAGACTGCGGACACAGTACAGGAGATGACCAGAGACTGCGGACAGTACAGGAGATGACCAGAGACTGCGGACAGTACAGGAGATGACCAGAGACTGCGGACACAGTACAGGAGATGACCAGAGACTGCAGGCATAGTACAGGAGATGGTCAGAGACTGCAAGCATAGTACAGGAGATGGTCAGAGACTGCAAGCATAGTACAGGAGATGGTCAGAGACTGCAAGCATAGTACAGGAGAGGGTCAGAGACTGCAGGTGTAGTACGGGAGATGGACATACACTGCAGGCATACTACAGGAAAAGGTCAGAGACTGAAGGAGTACCATAGGAAAGGGTCACAGACTGCAGGAGTACCACAGGAGAGGGTTAGAGACTGCAGGAGTACTACAAGAAAGGGTCAGAGACTGCAGGCATAGTAAAGGAGATGGTCAGAGACTGCAGACATAGTACAGGAGATGGTCAGAGACTGCAGACATAGTATAGGAGATGGTCAGAGACTGCAGACATAGTAAAGGAGATGGTCAGAGACTGCAAGCAAAGTACAGGAGAGGGTCAGAGACTGCAGGTGTAAATTTGTCCCTCTCAGAGTGATCCCATAGAGCAGGTGTCCCAATCAGAGTGACCCCATCAGAGAGTTTGGTAGTAAGAACACAGAAGAGATTTCCCAAGAAGGATGCACAGCGCACACAGAGGTAGGATCCTCTGCTGTTGACACTTGTTCAGCAGTTCCCTCATGGCTGCCAGAAGTGCAGGTCCCCAGGGGCGCTGAATTGGAGAACAGTACAGGCAGACTGGGGACTACTTTTCCATTTTCGGTTATGGCAGACTAATCTGCAGTGCAGTTGCTCCTATGAATTGAACTAATGTCCTGACCTCTTCTACATCAATCCGCCTTAGCAATCTGGCTGATTGATACAAAAGTGGCTGGGACATTAGTTTATTAACAAGAAACAGCGGCACTGCAGATTACTCCACCACTCCTGAAAATGAAAAAATAGTCCCCAGTCTGCCGCTGAACCCCCTACCCACTCAGCAAAAGGGCCAGGAAAGTTTTTAATCTTTTAACTGCTATGCTTTTGCAGAAGTAGGAAGCCTTTTCTGAGGCTGCTCCATCTCTGATATCCGATTTTCGGGACATTGGCCGGCACTGAGCAATGACAGGACATGATTCAAAATAAATGGGACTGTCCCAGGCATTCCGTGACAGTTGGCAACTATGCATTCGCTTCTATGGGCTACCTGCATGCAGCTCCAAAGTGCATTCAGACATAGCAAAAAGTGTCTCAGCACGGAGGAAAGGAATCACTGCCCGTCTGAATGAGCCCTAAAGCTCCAGCAGTTACTGTCAATACAACAAACTGAAAAAGCACAGGGAAGTTTCTTCAAACCTTTTTTCCTCAGTGAGAGGCTATTTTATTTGTAAGTGATGTTACATTATACAACACCTTATAAAACACTCTGAAATATACGAATACATTACTGCTGTAAAGAAACTTACTTTTTAAAGTCCCTACGTTGCGATGTACACTTTTCTGCTGTGATCAGCCCTGCACATGCAGAATAATTAGAATCAACTAAACTCCCAATTAAAATTACTTCCGATTTGATTAGCAGAAAAGTTAGCAATAGCCTATTTTTGAATCGTTATATAAAAAGCCTCAATTATTTTACTGGCTGCCAAGATCTCAGGGAAAGCCAAGTTTTGGCGCTGAAGTCCTCCATAAAAGAGTTCGAAAGGCACACATTACTTGGCATCAAGCCACTGTACAGCACTTTACAGAAATAAAAAAAAAAAAAAAAGAAAAGTGAACTGTGGATAGTTTTAATGGAATCCTATACCGAGACAACAAAACCTATGCCGAGACAACAAACCTATGCCGAGACAACAAACCTATGCCGAGACAACAAACCTATGCCGAGACAACAAACCTATGCCGAGACAACAAACCTATGCCGCGACAACAAACCTATGCCGCGACAACAAACCTATGCCGCGACAACAAACCTATGCCGCGACAACAAACCTATGCCACGACAACAAACCTATGCCGCGACAACAAACCTATGCCGAGACAACAAACCTATGCCGAGACAACAAACCTATACTGAGTTGCCATTGCTGATCTCTAACAATACTAGTTGCCTGTTATCATTGAGCTCAATGTTTTCTCAGATACAGACCCAGAGAAATCATTCAGCAATGGAGATAAAGGGAGCCCCTGATGAGTGGCTCAGGTGTACGGATATGTTTTTATCAGTTTTACCAATTAATAGCATTGTTTAAGGGATATGAGCAATGACAGCGTACAGATTACAATCACAACATATTCCTTTTCAGGGCTAATTCACATCAGCAGCAATGCAGCGCCTGCTGTGCAGAGCGCTGAAGTGTGATCACTGCAATGCCAATGCTCCTACCATGGTTTATTGCACTATTCACTCTTTAAAACCAACTTTACTGAAATATCACACAACAAAATTTCATTAAGTTCCATCAGCTGGAGGCAGTGAATTGCCGCACACTGTGCTGAAAAAAAGTATGGTCTGCTGTACTTTTTTGCACTGCGTCTCACACGCAAACCACTGCAACACGGTAATGTAAATCAGGTATATAGGAGACAAGGCATTTTGCCTTGTCTTGCGGTGGGACAATGCTGGAATAATTGCCCAATGCATTATTTTTGACAAACAATGATGGATGTACAGTATAGTCCTTGAGAAATTGTATTTGTAGAAGGATACCAACAAATGTATAACCATATGATTTCTAATTGCACTTCAATTTCTACTATACATAAGGGTGGGATCACTAGATCTATAATGACATCAAAATATAGTCAGTCATACGGTACGATTTTCAGATGTTCTTATTATGAATAATGGATTTCTGCGTTTTTCTTGTTTGCACCTGAGTAGTTTCTTGAAAACAATTCTCAGCTGACAACCACTGCCTTGTATTCACTGTTTTAAGATTGCCATTCCCTGGTGACCAGCACCCATTCTCAAACTATTAAAGTGAAACACCAGACACATTAAAAAAGGCCCTTTAATCAAATGAATATTGAAAAAAAAATAATTAACAGGTATAGCTTATGGTGTCTTTATATAGGGTATTATAACTCTGTAAAGCTGCACTCAGACTGGGAGAGGGAGGGTCACCATTGCAAGATAGGGTTTTATTGCTTTGTGTTGTCAAACACCATTAATAAGCTTACAAGAAGGAAGAGCACAATGTTGGCATCATTTACAAATCAAGAGGAGAAAAAAGGCGACCAGGGAAACATATGTTCAAATACTATGGTTTAGAAGCCATTATCTCAGAATTTAAGGAAGGAAGAGTTTTGCTACTTTCTATCAAAATGAAAACTTCTCTTCCTACCTGGTCTTAGAGGTATGAGATGTTTCTTCATCCATATCTCATATCCATATCTCAAACCCATCTCTATCATTTTTTCTGAAGACCAGCTGTGGCTTTCCACAGAAGAAGCCTAATATGCAGTTCACCTTCCCTTTGAACACTATGGAGCCATGCAAATGTGTTATTGTGTATACTCACTGAAATATAAGCGCCTAAGACTGGCCGTGGGCTGAAGGAAAAGAAAATCACTCCATTTCCCCACCAACATAATCCATGTTGATGGGGGAATCCCTCCCTCTGCACTATTGTATTCTTACAGTGGGAGGTTTCCCAGCCGTCAGAATACAATGATCACCGATACTAGCTATAGCCGGCAGCAATAATTGTGTGAGAACAACTTGACAGGCTGGTTGTACTGATTGAAAGATAGACTTCAGTACAACCAGCCAGCCCATAGACAGATTGAAATTCAGCCGGTTTAGCAGGAACTAGACAAATTTCAATCCATCTATGGCCAGATTAAGAGCCTCATTCACATTTGAGTGTTTTGTAGCTTGTACCTGGAAGCTCAAAAACACTCAACAAGCAAAAACCTATTGTTTTTCAATAGCCCTTGTTCACATCTGAGCATTCTGTCACTTTTAGCAAAACATCTATCGCTCAAAAAAGTACATGAGCTACTTTTGAGGCAGAGTTGAGCATTTTTGTTCCCATAAACTTCAATGGAAATGTCTGAAAAGCGTAATATGAGCGTTTTTTTCAAGATTTTTGTCATTCGTTTTCTGCTCAAACATCAGCTCTCCACTCCTTTTTTCAGAAGCACTCCTGAAGCCTAGTTGAAAAATGCCTGAAAAAACATCTGGCAAAAGCTACAAAAACGTGCACTTTTGCATCAAAAAAAATGTTTGAAAACCTAACATTAGGTGTGAATGTAGCCTAACAAAATTCAAGAATTTGTGTCCTGAAGTGACACAGGTAAGACATGCATTTCCTATAATCATAAAAGCCTGTGCAACCCTCCTGAGAGACCTCCTCCCTTAGGCTCTGCTCACATCTGGAAATTTTGTATCGCGGGTAGAATTGCCAGGATTCTGCCCACATTCCCAAAACACTACGCAAAAATGACAAATCGCATCACGTGTGTGTTCAGATGCCATTAATCCTCAATGGCACCTAAAAAAAAGCGGTGCGATTCTGCGGCAATTGCCACACGATAAATCACGCTGAAAACATGCAAACCACATCGTGCAAAGCTTGTCGCCCCGAAAGAAGCTCCTGCTCCTTTTTGGGCAACATGCTTTGCATAATGCAGGTTGCTGTGATTGCAGAGCGATTTATCAACGGTGTTTAGGTAATCCCTCACTATTGCTGTGGCACTGGAGTGTTTGAATGCTGCACGTGTGGCACTGTTTTTTGAAACCTAAGATAATACACTATGTCTAGGTTTTTTTCTTTTGAGGTATATGAAGAGTTGGGGGGATTCATCACCAATTATCCGGAACAGTGTGTATCTATTGATCAATTGAGGACTTTATGTGTATATTTTTCCATATTTTTCCAAATTTTGGACTTTTCTTTGGACTTTCTTTGGACTTTGGGTGTATTTATTTAAGTCTGTTTGTATAATTTTCTTTTTATGTTGTACTTCAGGGGATGGATTGTGAAACGACTTAATTGGGTTGTATATTAGGTGGGTTGTGTGCTGTCTCATTTGTATTCAGTCGTGGCATTTAGGTGCCATTGAAAATGATTAACACCTGAACACGCATGGTGCAGTTTTTAATTTTTTTTTAACAGCGCTTTGGGATCGCAGACGAAAATTGCAGCAATTCTGCCTGTGATACCAAACGCCTAGATGTGAACAGAGCATTCCCAACCTCCTCTAGTATGTGTTGAGACACTCTCCTACATACTTTTTTTTAGAAAGCACAATTCTGACATTTTTTGGCGAAAGTCAAGGAAATCATCCACAAAATTAATGACATTCATTCAGTTGGACCTATAAACAGTGTCAGCCCTATTACTTTTGCACCTCAACAACTTCTCGATAATGAACGATAATTAAATTGCTGATTCATCTCATAAAATCTGTGCCCCAATGAAATGGAAGCAAACCAACCTGTGGACATAAGATAAATACCATGCTGATGACACATATGATAAATTCCAAGTCACGTGGTACACATGGATCAGGTTCACCTCCTCGCAAAAATAAAAAAAAGTTCTCACTTTTTAATAATACAGTGGGTGTGGGACATTCTAAAAGGCAGGGAATGGGGCCGGTGTGGGCTAACTCACTTTCCCTCCTTCCCTTATACCTTATTATTTGCCCTGCCACTCTGGAATTCTTACTTATACCCTCCAATTTGCTCCTTACCCTCACCTTTCATTGTACATTTTCCCAGTCACTTTCTCGCTCTCAGATACTGATTTTCCTCCATACCCTCACCTTATACCTCGGACACCACCATACTAACTCACCTACTACCATAGACACATGGTACCATAGACACATGGGAATCCTAAAAATGTGTGCAGAACGGAACACATAGGGAGGACATGAAATCTACATAACTTTAGTTATTTCAAAGAGGACTTGTTCAGTTATTTAGTGTCAAATGCATTTTTCCTTGATCTTCATTAATAATATATCACCTGATCCTTTTTGAATGTGCATATGTTGTTCTAATGCTTTAGGGCCCTTTCATGCTAGAATGCACATGGAAAAGCTGCGTTCCAGCGCAGGTTCCTGCACCACATACCTGTCTCACTGCCCTTGCGATCTACCTTGGGTGTCAGTGCAGAGTTAACGACACCCCAAACGCAGATTACAAATGCAGTGTATTAGCCCACACTGGATTGCATGGTACAAAAATACTGCAGCACATAAAGGCATGTGAAGCGCACAGGAACCTCAAAGCGTTCCTGTACAATTCACATGAAGTTTCTAGTATGAAAGGGCTCTTAAGTGTCCTTGGTTCTGCTTGATAACCACACGTAAACACATACATAATCACAGGTTTTATCCTTCACTTTGTACAATGCATATTTATATATATAAATAAATAAGACAAAAGCAATTATCAAGTCTGTTATGTATAATACACCATTAACAAGCAGTGAGAGCTGAATGATTTCTTAGTTTGGGTCACATCCAGCAGCAATCAAGAACAAATTTGCTCCATTACATGAAAAGCTGAGAGAGAAATAAAGCACACAGAACACTGATCAATGATATTCCTGGTGGAGGAAGACATTACAAATCAAAGCCTAAAGACAATAGACTAGATAAAATACATTTGTAACATTTTAGAACTGTGGCAGAAAATTTAATAATGTGCTCTAGTTTTCCAGGGCTTTCTACTGCAGTTTTTTCTGATCCAAATAAGAGATATTATTTATTTTAGGTACTTATATAGCACTGTCAATTTACGCAGCACTTTACATACATATATTGTACATTCACATCAGTCCCTAACCCTCAAGGGGCGTACAATCTAAGAACCCCAACACATACTAAAGCCAATTTAGACAGGAGAAAATTAACCTACCAGCATGTCTTTGGAGTGTGGGAGGAAACTGGAGCACCGGGAGGAAACCCATGCAGGCACATGGAGCACATGCAAACTCCAGGCAGGTGGCACCATGGTTGGGATTCAAACCAGCAACTATACTACTGCCAGGTGGACGTGCTAACCATTAAGCCACTGTGCACTTTTTTTTTTTAAGGGAATGGACAGTGTTTTTGTATATATTGTATGTTATATTAACCACTAGCCTACAGGGCACTTATACCTCCTTCCTGCCCAGGCTAATTTCCAGCTTTCAGCGCGGTCACACTCTGAATGACAATTGCGCGGTCATGCAACATTGTACCCATATTAAATTTTTATAATTTTTTTTTGAGACCGATAGAGCTTTCTTTTGGTGGTATTTAATCACCTCTGGGATGTTATTTTTTCTTAAACAAACAAAAAACCACTGAAAATTTTGAAAAAAAAAAGTTTTTTTCTCAGTTTTTGTTATACAATTTTGTAAATAAGTGATTTTTCTCCTTCACTGATGTGCGCTAATGAGGCTGCAGTGATGGGCACTGATAGGCTGCACTGATGGACACAGATAGGTGGCACTGATGGGCACTGATGAGGAGGCACTGGTAGGTTGAACTGATGGGCATTGACAGGCATCACCGATGGGCACTGAAAGGCAGCACTGATACATGACACTGATACAGGACTCTGATATGCGGCACTGATAGGCGGCACTGATAAGCGGCACTGTCTGGCACTGATAGGCAGCACTGACTGGCACTGATAGGCGGCATTGACTGGCACTGATAGGTGGCACTGACTGGCACTGATAGGTGGCACTGACTGGCATTGATAGGTGGCACTGACTGGCACTGATGGGTGACATTGAAAGGCAGCTCAGATGGGCACTGATATGTGGCATTGATGTGCACTGGTATGCACTGATATGTGGCACTGGCACGTGGCACTGATGAGCACTGACAGGTGGCACTTCTGGGGCCACACTGATCATCAGGGCACACTGATCATCAGTGCCCTGATGATTAGTGTACATGTCCCTTCCGCGGAAAGCCGATTACTGGATCTCCTCTCCTCTCGAGCTGTCAGCGTGGCAGCTCGAGAGGAGAGAAATGCCGATAACCGGCATTTCCGTGTTTACATGTGATCAGCTGTGATTGGACACAGCTGATCACATGACCGAGCCGACATCTTCGGCTCTTTCCGTGATTGGTGATCCTTGGACACAGCGCACCGCAGATCGCCGCGCTGCATGCTCCGAGCCTTGCATGCGCAGTGATGACATATGACGTCCTATCAGAATGAGAGAACCACCTTACGCCCGTCATTGTACTATAGGGCGGGCGGAAGGTGGTTAAGGACCAAAAAAAAATAAATCTCTTAAAAATATATTTTTCCTATAGACTGAAAGCTGCTGTAGGTACGTGCAAGTACCTCTAGGTTACACAGAACCAACGAGATATGCAGGTCAGGAAAATCAGAAGCTCTAAACACTGGTTCTGAGTTAGTAACTGAATATATTGAAGCTAGAGGGTCAGCAGAACAACCAGCAAAATAGCAAATTTAGAGGGGAACACCAATAATCAAAACCTCCATGTTTCTCCCATGACAAGTTTCCTTTAACCCTTTTGCTGCCACTGACAAAAGGCATACATTGGCAGCAGCATGGTATTTTACACATACTCCTGGCTACTGTAAACATTACAAGCCAACTGTTGACTTTGCAATTGATCTTGCAAGCCTCATATGTGACACCAATGAAGTGAAAATAGAAGTTAAAAAAATTAAAAGTTACACCCGAGCTTAATAAAGAATATGTAAAAATTTAAAAAATGTAGAAATTAAAAGGAAAAAAAAAAAATATATATAATATATTTTTCTACTGTCTGTTATAGAACATATCTGATAAATTCAAATGTCTTCATAAAATGTAGGCTAAAATGTATTCTACCACGTCTTTGGTAAGAAATAAAAAATCCCAATTGTATAATTGGTTTGTGTGAAAGTCCTTCTACAAACTATGTTTTTATATGTATACACAAATGTTTTACCGTTTGTTTCTATTTTAAACGGAATGGGTTGTTTTACAAATTGAGGGTTTACAATCACTTTAATACAAATATAAACACATGTATCCGGAGAACCTACATATGAAAATGGTGATGGCATTACACCAGTTTTGTATGGCTGCACATGCCAGACTAATAGCAATAATCATATTGCTATTGCTTCCTTTAAACCAACAGTCTCCAAACTGCAGCCCTGGGGCTGGATGTGGCCCCTTGCTTGCCTTTATCTGGCCCTAGGGGCACTATTCCTCCCACTGATACGAACAATGGGACGCTAAATCTTCCCACTGACACCAACGATGGGGCACTATTTCTTCCCGACACCAACAGTGGGACACTATTCCTCCCACTAATGCCAATTATGGGGCATTGTGTACTCCCATTGAAGACAGGCCATTTTCTACTCACACTAGCCACAGTCTGGCCCCCCTAAGTCAACTGGCCCTTTGTTTAGAAAGCTTGGAGACCCCTGCTCTAAGCCGATGACCTGTAAGGGCTTTTAAAGCATTGCCTATGGACAATATTGTGTACAAAAATGTGTTGCTGTTTCACTGCTTTAAGGCTTTTAAGGCTTGAAGTGTTGAATTACCTACTGCGTTTGAGTGCATGGAAATTACCTGTAGATTATTTTTGTTACTGAAAATGTGTTTGGTAAACTGTTAATATCACGTGACATTAAAAAACTGAAACTACCACCATTTTATTCTACAAACTTAAACTAATCTTCAGGCTGTAAATGCCTACTTTCAGCTGGAGTTCTCCTTTGAAGAAAATATTTCACATGTCACAAGATACAGTGTTAAGAATTGTATCTCCCTGCACTTTTTGTACCTGAGCTCTGCTCTACAGCAATGGCAATAAATGAAGTCTGTAGGGATTTCTTGACTTCTCAGAAAGCTGCAGAGCATAGGGACCAGAGGCATGCGAGCAGTAAGCTGATCCAAATGCATTTTTTTTTTTAGACCTTAGCAGTCCTCTTATATAAGGTGAACATTTTCAGCTCTTTCCTGAAAATCCTTTACAAATCCTGTTTCGTGTAATTGTGTCCTCTGCTTTACCACGACCCTGGCATCTAAATTCAGTTCTCCCCCCCAGCTTGGTGCACATGCCAATTAACAGCCACCTAACAAAAATAGCAAACTGACTCTAGATTCCCTTGGAATACACTACATTAGTTGATGAAATTCATCGATTTCTACATGCATAAATGCCTACACATCACAGATGGCATGAGTTTACATTTCTGGAGGTAGACTAATTGCTTTAGAATTCTCTTCCTGTTCATGTAAGTAGTATCTAAACAGTTGGTGGATACTCTATTTAAAAACTGTAGCATATCTGCTTTTAATTTTTTTTTTTCCAATTAACAAAATAGATTTCCTCCTCAAATGTGGTTCTGTAAATATGACTTCAGTTATTTATTATTAGACCATTTAAGAAGAAAAATGATCAGAAATCAAAAAGCCCAGGTTAAAGAAGAACTCCGAAATGGGCAAACAAAATCACCCATTAGTACACCCCTCTACACAAAACACTACACAGTTAATAACATTTTAAAACTTCTTAGCATTTAGGAGAAAAGTCTAATTGAATTTTCATGACCTCATCTCTGCTCTACCAAGGAGGAGGTGTAACAGCAGGGATTACATCATATCCTCCCCTCTCTCTCTGCAGTAACAGGAAACTACAGTTCCCATCAAGTACAGGGAAAATGTGGGCAGGTACACTAGGCCTGTACATGATGAATGTGTCTGAGAGCCCCGGTCCGCCCACCACTGCATGTGGGGCTAAATTACATCACTGCTTCCTGGAGAAAGAACTACAGAAGAGATGTGCCAAGACCAGTGGACGGGGGAATAGGAGGTATAGCAGCCACTGGTCTTACAAACAGGAAACCAAAGTAAATTAAGGGTTTGATTTGATAAGGAATTGGCTATTTCAGAGCAACTACTGATTGACCCAGAAGATGAAGAACATATTCAGTGAAGGTAGCGAATCAGCAACAATTACATGTAAAAAAGTTTTTGCCTGAAGTTTTGCTTTAAATGATATATGGTAGCAGAACTTCACTCTCTCAATGAACATTAACCATTTTAATCCTTATGCTGCTAATATTAGTAAATAGATAAGAAAATTTTATATTTACTTATAAACCTGTTGTACATTTCTTCAGTTACTTCCTGGTTTCCATGCCTACACATCATACATCCCAGCAGTTTTCAGGCAGGAGAAGGGGCTTTCTCAGCTCAGCTCACCCTCCTGCCTGAACGCCTGAGCTAAGGGCAGATGGATTCCATATTCCAGCAGGTAAATTCATCTGCCCTTACTTAAAATGGCTGCGGCCAGAAAGGTGTTTTTAAAAGTAATCCCTCTGCAAAATAAAGCAAGGAGACATGAATGGATGGGGGAAATTGCTTTAAATTTTAAAAATGATTTAAATAGTGTGTTAGTTTGTGCTGTTCAGAAGCAGTGTAGTTCTGCTTTAACTGGAATAATCTTAGAGCCCTTCTCCACGGAAAGAAAAACTGCTCCCTTGCAGTGGGGCTGCCCAAGCGTTGTGAGGGTTAAATGTTTGATAAGAACTGGGTGGCTGGGGAGGGGGGGGGTGTTTTACTTAAATGATCCTCTGCAGTGGGCTGTCCCTCAGTGTCCCCTCATCAAATGAAGGGCTATGGGCTCTGCATTGGACTTGATGACGTCAGAGGACCTGCGACCACCAGAGCATAAGGGAGAAGAGACAGCATCTCTACATAGAAAACAAAAGCACAAATCCTAGCATGTCTTCCACTTACAGTATGATGTATTCAAGTCACTCTCTGTCAAGAGGTTGAATTTTGTGTCCAGCTTCAGATCACCTAAACTTTTCACTTGCAGAGTCTCCTCCTATAGGTCAGCAGAGCCTGGTTTATTCCCCTAAGGATTGAGGCACATTCTGTGAAGGAGGATACTTCCTCAACAAGTGCCTGCTTTACATTTCTTCCTTAGAGATAGCAGCTTTAATAAAAAAAGTTTCAAAAGGGTTAGGTGTTCAAAAGGATCAAAATGTTTGTTAGCTGATAAGTTTGACTGTACAACCTCATCTGTAGACAGCGCACAGTATGTCACTTATTTACGTAAATGTCCAAGCATCTCAGAGTGCCACTTATAGGCATCTCCCTTCATTGTGGATTTTAAAATTGAAGCATAAGCACAAGTGATATATAGTGTGATGTTATTAGTGTTAATATCCTCAAAATAAGTAGCTCCTAATGATTGCTTATTATGTTCTGTTTTAGCAAAGCTTCACTTCAATATTTCTGTTTAAAGAGGGTATGGTGTTCAGAATGCACAATTTATTTCAGGTACTTTTATAGCGCCGTCAATTTGACCTATAATCTTATCACAGAGAAAGTTGTGCTAGAAATAATTTTATTTATAAATGCCAGTAAATACCTTTATTTTAATCTATTAATCAAGGGTATGTGACTGAAGATACCATTTTCCCTTCTTCTTGTCAGAGTAGTGGGTGGAATCTCATAACACTGGGGCTGGGAGTAGTGGCAGAGTAGCAAGTAATTTTTTTGCTGGTCAACAATGCATCTGTAAAGATTAACACAATAACATGGTGACCTCATCACATAAATGAATAGGAGGAAAGGGTATGGAGGTCTGTCCAAAGAGGTCTATGTGAAGATGGATGCGGCGTTGTGGTGACGTCAATGCATTCACTACAAGGTTGAATAGGAAGAAAGGGATCAGAGGTCTAACAATGCTGCAATGTGAGCATTGGTAATGTGGCATTGTCAGCCAAAGGCTACAGCAGCAGCACTGGCGGGATCAACAGGCACAAACTTAGAAATACAGGTGGGATTACAAATAGGAGATTTACAAGTAAGACAGGGAAATCTTAATGTTTATTTAATGAACTTTTGTATTTTTGCCTGGAGTGCTACTTAAAGTGTTACTAAACCCACAACAGT